CTCCAGCAGCAGTCTATCCCGGAGTACGAACATCTCCCTTTTGCCTTCCCCGAGTCTGAGCCGGCCCGACCTCCCTCCCCTCTCTAGCGGGCTCAAGGGTCGCGGGGCTACCCGAGAGCCTTGAGCGAGCCCGTCCTCCACCGCCCTTTGCCTTGACCTTCCCTCGAGCCTCCAGCTCCACGCGCAGTCTACCGCCGACCTACCTCCCTCCCTCCCTCCCCTCTCTCCAGCTTGCTCGAGCCTTGAGCGAGCCCGTCCTTTGCTGGCCTCGCCTGGGCAGAGCCGGGCTGGGCTGGGCGAGCTGGTGACATCACCCTGAACGCCCACCCAGCGCTGCCCGGCGCCGCCGCCGCCGCCGCCGCTGCCAGGCTGCCTCCTTCCCTGCTTTTCCCTCCCTCCTCCAGCAGCCAGCAGCAGCGTGGCCGGGGCGCTCGGCGCGGCAGGGGCCGGGCTGGCGACGGCCTCTCCGGGCTCCTGGCGGCGGCAACAGCGGCAGAAGCAGCAGCAGCAGCAGCGACGACGGCCCCCGCAGCCCGCGGAGCAGGAGCAGGAGCAGCAGCCTCCGCCGCCGCCTTCCCTTCCCTGCCCGGGCGCCGCCCGCATGAGCCACCGCAAAGGCGACAAGCCTCCCATCAGCATCCAGGAGCACATGGCCATCGACGTCTGCCCGGGTCCCATCCGCCCCATCAAGCAGATCTCCGACTACTTCCCGCGCTTCCCCCGCGGCCTCCCCGCCGCCGCCTGGCTCAGCCGCAGCCAGAGCCAGCCGCAGCCCCGGCGCGCTTCTGCCACCAGCCCGTCCGGGACGCCCCCTCCCCGCGACGACGATGAAGACCTCGACCAACTCTTCGGCGCTTACGGCACCGGGGACGCCGGCCAGGCCCGAGCCCCCGAGCAGCCCCAGCCCCAGCAGGACCCCCCGACCCATCCTCCACCGCAGCCGCCCTCGGCCCGCCCCGAGGAAGAAGAGGAGGCGGCCGACGGCTACGAATCCGACGACTGCAGTAAGTTGCCCGGAGGTTGGGGATCCAAAGGGGGGCCGCGTAGGTAAGGCTCCGGCGGGCGTCGGAGGTGGGACGGGGCGCCCGCGGGCGCCCAAGCCTGGGAAAGCAATTTCCCCTCTCCGTCGGGGGGATGCTGAAGGAATTTGCACTGTGTGCCCGACTCAGATGTTGAGTCTGAAAGGGGTGTGTGTGTGTGTAGACGCGTACTTTGACCGGTGTACCCGCCGCGAGTGTGNCCAACACAATGCAACTCAACCCAACCCAACACAATGCAACTCAACCCAACCCAACACAATCCAACTCAACTCAACCCATCCCAACTCAACCCAATGCAACTCAACCCATCCCAACCCAACGCAAAACAACCCAACCCAACACAATGAAACTCAACCCATCCCAACTCAACCCAATGCAACACACTACACACAGAAACTGTTTTTTTTGTCTACTTATAATCAATTTCTTCCTATTTTGCTTTCCCACAGTCTCTGGAGGAATTTCCTTTCTCTTCTTCCTTTATTCAACATAACACCCAACCCAACCCAACCAACACAATGCAACCCAACCCAACTCAAAGCAATGCAATCCAATGCAAGATAACCTAACCCAACCCAACCCAACTCAATGTGGAGGTAAGCTTTATAACATTTGAAAAGGGGAAGAAAACAGCTATCTAGTCACTAGTTGGATGGATTCCTTTGGCCAAAGTTAAATGAGCTTAAATCAAGAGCCACATAGACTTTGGGAGGAGATTAAACCACAATACATTCTCGTGCCATCTTTCCCCAAGAGTCTCTCTTTACATGGGACGGGCCTTCTTATTTTTTTTTCTTAACTTTGTATGTAACAGAATAGAGAGGTTTGCTCTTTGCAACTTCTTTAAAAAAGAGAGAAAGCCTATTTACAATGTTCATGAGCTTCCTATCGTAAAGGCAGGATTGTGGTTTTCTCTTTTGCCTTGTCTTTACAATCGCATCCTACCGTATCTTGTAAGGTAAAGGTAAAGCTTTCCCTCGCACATATGTGCTAGTCGCTCATGACTCTAGGGGGCGATGCTCATCTCCATTTCAAAGAGCCAGCGCTGTCCAAAGACGTCTCTGTGGTCATGTGGCCGGCATGACTCAACACCAAAGGCGCATGGAATGCTGTTACCTTCCCACCAAAGGTGGTTCCTATTTTTCTACTTGCATTTTTTACGTGCTTTCGAACTGCTAGGTTGGCAGAAGCTGNAAAAAAAGTTTTTGCGCTCTGCAAACCAGCCCCAAAACGGCCCGTGTTTTGCAAAAACGGACCCATTTTTTTTAAAGGGCATGAATATCCTTTAGGAGGTTTATAGAGTGCTCCTGCGGGCTGCGGGAGGGGAGCAAAATTGAGCAAAAAATGGCCCGTTTTCGCTCATTTCTGCCCTCCCAAGCCCCCAGGAGCACTCTGGAAGCCTCCTAAAATCTATGTATTTTGGTGAAGGGGTGGGGTTTTGGGAGGCAAAAAATGCTGTATTCGGTGTATAAGATGCACCCAGATTTTCAGCCTCTTTTTTGAGGGAAAAAGGTGCGTCTTATACTCCAAAAAATATGGTATATCATTACGAATAAATTAAAGAGTTTCTCCAGTCTCTAACTAGACCAGGACTGTCAAAATCAAGGCCCGGGGGGGGGGGGCATCCGGTCCACAGGACGTTTAGATCTGGCCTGCGGGCCTGACCAGTGAAAAAGGAGCAGACCACTGGCTCTGCCAGCGAAAAGGGAGGAGACCCTTTGCCAGTGAAAAGGGAGCTCAGGAAGGCCGCGTGCAGCCCTCCCGGGCTCTGTTTTGGGCCACAACGGCCTCCTGCACTCCTCTGCCAGTGAAAACAGAGCTCAGGGAGGCTGTGCAGCAGAGGGTTGCAGGTGGCCTTCACGGCACAAAACAAGAGCCCGGGAGGGCTGCACGTGGGCTCCCCAAGTTCCATTTTCAATGGCAGTGGTCTGCAGGAGGCGTCGCAGTTGAAAAACGGAGCCCAGGAAGGTCTTTGCGGCCAAAAACGGAGCCTCGATAAGTGACATCGAGCTGGCCACGCCCATCCGGGCCACATCCACCCAGCCCCGCGAGGTCAAACACAACCCTGATGTGGCCCTCAATGAAATCGAGTTTGACACCCCTGAACTAGGCAACTGTTTCACTTGAGGTTTTTCAGTATGGCGAGATAACGCAGCTAGTCCTTGACTTACCACCATGTGTCCAGTGGCCATTCCCAGTTACAACAGCCCTGGAAAAAAGTGACCTATGACCATTTTCCACGGTTACGACCATTGCAGCATCCCGGTGATCAACATTCAGCCGCTTGGCAACGGATTCATATTTATGACCGTTGCAGTGTCCCGGGGTCACGCGATCCTCTTTTGCGACCTCCTGAACAAGCCGAGTCAGTGGTCAAGCCAGATTCACTTAACGACCGTGCTACTAACTGAACCATAGCAGTGATTCACTTAACAATGGCAAGAAAGGTCGTAAAAGGTAGCTGAACTCACTTAACGATTGTCTCACTTAGTAACAAAACCTTTGGGCTCAGTCGTGGTCGTAAGTCAAAGATTACCTGGACATCTTTAGTGTGCAAACGAGATTTCCCTGGACAAAAATCTCTCTCCTTTTTTTTTTGCATTCTGATTCCTTTTGTTCATTTCAAATATCAAATCATAAACCCTGTGCTGACAATGCTAGAAAAATTAGATATACTGTTAGGCAACCTTCTCTATTTTGACCTGAACTTTCCTTCCACAGAAAAATAATTTTCTTTCACAGACACATCCCTATAATGGGGATGAGATCTTGCTTGATATATCAAAAAACTAACATTAAACGAAACCCACAGTTTACGACTTTGTTGCTAACAATTATACAGAAGGCAGTGGAAACAATTTTTCCTTCCTAGACCTTAATTCCAAATTTTTTTAAAAAAAATTCTGGAAATTATATATATATATATGTATAATTATATATATACACGCATAAATACATACATAGAGATGTGCATTAAAACTCAATGGCTTACATCAGAGAGACCTATCTGCTGGACAGAAGACCGAAGAGACGAAGAATGAAAATAAGTTGGAATAACGTTATATTTTTCCACAATCCAAGCAGATGCTATATTTGCTAATTCCCCCCCCCCCCCCCCAAAGTGCCATTTGGTGGCAGATATGCTTAAATGTTATTTTTAAAGCCATTTCCAGGGCCAGGAGTAATTTTCTCCACCATCAATATTTTCTGTTTTTTTGTTTGTTTGTTTGTTTTATAAAAAAAAACTCTCAAGGAGGTGAGAGACGAGCTCCAGTTTTTAAGAAACTTTTTTCCCCCCCTGTCCTTCTGACTTTTCCCTCCCCACTTTTGGCCTTATTCTTGGAGCAGAGTTTCTCTCCAGTTAAATCCACCGGTTGGTCCGTGAGTGAGTGGCAGGATAGGTGGATCGGTCAGTTGCCAGAGTCCAGTGTCTTCAAGTTCTTCACAACAGCAGAAGCCCAGGTAAGGAATCTGAATCGAAAGAAAAGAAACGTCAGCGAGAGATTCAACAGAATAAATTATTCTCCAAAACACCAGAGGGCAGGGCAAGGGGGAAAAAAATGGGTGGAAACTAATCAAGGGGAGAAGCAACCTGGAATTAAGGAGAAATTTCCTGATAGCAATAGCAATAACAGTAGACTTAAATACCGCTTCATAGGGCTTTCAGCCCTCTCTAAGCGGTTTACAGAGTCAGCATATCGCCCCCAACAACAATCCGGGTCCTCATTTTACCCACCTCGGAAGGATGGATGGATGAGTCAACCTTGAGCTTGGTGAAATTCAAACTGCCAAATTGCAGGCAGCCAGCAGTCAG